GCAAGCATCCGCAAGGCAGCAGTAATTTTTTGCTGTGGAAGTAGACCCATAACACCAAAAGCATCATTTTTTTGCACAAAGTAAGAATCATGGTTGCAAACAGCAATCATGATTTTGTTGAACAAATATCGTTCCATTCTAAAGCGACATCTAAAGTACGTATCAGGGAATGCACTATAACGGACAAAATAATCGTCCAAGAGTTCCGTTGTTGTTGCCTACTTCTATCAAGGTTTCCAGAACGGCTGGGCCTACAGATCTGACCCATAGATTTAATTACTCGACGGGAATGTGAGGCTCTTGCCATTCTTGCTTCGTCATCTCTCCTTCTATGCTCCTCATCCTCTTCCCTCTCATTTTGGGCCAACTGAAGATTGAACATTCCTTCTAATTGGTTAAACAATTTTTCCTCTTGTTGATTGATTTCCCACATCATTCTTGAGGAAGAAGAAGACATTGTAAGAAAGAAGCAGAAACTATGAATAATGATAGAGATTTTGGTGAAGAAGGAAGCAGAAACTATGAATAATGATAGAGATCTTGAGAAAATTGGTGTGAGATTTGTGAGGATGGATGGTGGATTATATGGAGGATTCATAAAGGATTAGGTTGTAGATAATGTCACATGGTATGCTGTCATTCGTTAAAAATCTGATGGAAATCTATCCTCAAAGATTGTAAACAAATTATAACACGTGGCGCGACATGATTGGTTAATAATCTTATCGGAAATCCATCACCAATAATTGTATTTTCGGATAATGACACGTGACACAACGAGTACGATTAAAAATCTTATCAAAAATCCATTACCAATAATTATCTTTTTGGATTTTATAACAAGTGGTGCAACGACAACAAGTAATACAAATAAAATTATTTTGTATTATTGTATAACTTTTCGAATAATGACACGTGGCGCAATGAGAACGATTAAAAATCTTATCCGAAATTAGAAATAAAATTATTTTGTATTATTTTATAAATAAAAAAAATACTAATATTTTATTGTCTATTGCCAAGGCTATTGAAGTGCAACGGTGGAGATGCAAAAAGTGATTACTATTTATTAAGAGTAGTTACTGTTCACTGGGTGTATAGTATAATGTATTGCCTAGGAGAAAGGTTCCATGCTGGAACCGCTCTTAGATTGTTAATTTGTTTGATATAATTGATTTTACAACCCTTGTTCTATCAAAACTTTTTGCAGGAGGAAGAAGTGGAACTCATGCTCTCTTCGATGTTCCCGAAGCATGTCACCAATTTATACGACTTTCTTGCTCAGTATCAGATTGGGTTGAAATTCTTATTTGAAAAGAGGTAATACCTATTAACTGCATAAAACTAAGAAAGAAGATCGCATCTTTTAGTCCCAAGTTCCAGCCTTTGGATAAGACACCCTTCTCTCTCTCTCTCTCTCTCTCTCCCCCGAACTTTATCAGTGTTTTTTGTTTGTTTTCTTTTTTCAGAGCCTCAAAAGCATAAAGACCCAATGTTGCAGGTGTCCCAAGATTAAAGAACTCCGAGACTATGGATAGATGATTCTGATTTTTGTCATTAGTATTATTTTGGACACTTCGCGTTTCCAATATGTTATTTTGGCATTTCTTGCGACACTATGCGTTTCCTATATGTTATAACAGGGACGCCACTGCGTTAGTATTCCAAACCCATCAAGCGATGTTATGTGGGATAGTTGAAACACACGACAATGATTGATTGGGTTGGAATACTGCAAGACTAGCATCCTAGTTGTAGATATGTTGCGTGAGGATTTGTCTTCTGTATATGAACTGAAATTCACGAGGTTTGATGCTATAAGTTTGAACAGAAATTATGTTAAATTGATAAAAGTGAATGGAAATTGGTTTCAATACTGATTATTGGATAGAAACAATTATTGGGTGTGCTGGATTTAGGTCGGTTTGAAGAGCATTTTGTGATTTATTTGGTACTGAGATTTACTCTATGATTTCATTAGTTCGTAGGCCCTTGCATTGGCTTTTTGTTGGTATTGTTAAACCGTGTGGTGTTACTGAAAAAGTTGAGCAAATTAGATGATGGCAATGCAAGTGAATGTCCGTCAGAGGCAGGAGATATTCGGGATCGGGCTCTTTATAGAAACAGGCACAGTTAGAGTCGCAGCATCCACTTGTTTCCTTCAGAGGGCATTCAGCTCCAATCCTATGGGTTCTGGGGTCGTGACCCTGTTGCGTCCAAAGCAATTTCCCCTGTTTCTTCCTTGCTAGAGGAAATCATATCTCCTCTTTCCAGTGAAGCTATCATACATGAGGACAAAAAGAAAGTGAGCTTTAGGTTGATACTTTCTCATTGTATGTAATCTTCGTTAGAGATCATTGACCATGTACAGGAGATTTGGTTTACATTTTCATTAATCACGAACATAACAAAGTCAAACATGTTTGAGTCTTCCCCCCTTTTGGCTGGATCATGCTAGTAACATTAAGTTATTGTGCTTGTACATGCAGGACAATACGATAAGGTTGCCAAAATTCTTGGAGTACGGTTCATGCATGGTTCATTTAGTTGTGTTTGGCAGTCTCCAGGGTAACACACTTAACTTTGTTTCTCAGCGTGTACCAAAGTGCATTTTATTTGAATCGCAATATATGTGGAGTTTGTAGCTGTTGTTGCCTTCGTTTGACAAGATTTGGATCTTCAGATGCTTGTGGAAGAATACACCAGCCATATTCTGGTCTTTACAATTGATTGAGATAACTAGATCTTATCATGCATTACAAAAAATTTCCTTGCTAAAAATATAATTTTTTTTGTGGAAACCTCTCTAGATGAAGATGCTTTATAACGATCAACTTGCAACCATTCTATCTTTATATTGTGAAACACTCGAGAACAACATAAATACTTGTTCTCTAAACTCTTTGATCATGCTGTTGCAGGTTAGGATTTCTGTTTGTCTTCTTGACAAAACTGAATGTCATTGTAACACATCGTGTTAGATATTTCTTTCATATCAAGAAACGTACTTGTCAAGTAGAGTATTTGACACACAGCATTGTGCAGGTCTTAACGATATATCTGCCGCAAAAGTTGTTTGGTCCTGGAGTTGTTGATGAACAAGCAACCAGACCATTCTCTACCTTGATCTTCCTTTTAATATGCTCTCTCTCTCTTTCTCTCTCTCTTCTCTCTCTCTCTCTCTCTCTCTCTCTCTCTCTCTCTGTCTCACACACACACACACACACGCACAAATATACTAGTCCCCTTTATTTGGCAGTGATTTATTGATATACATGTTTCTGTAAAATTAGTCATGAATGTTAGGAGGGAGTTGTACTACACATGGTATGATGATTATTGAAGTTTAATCAAGTTCCGTAGGACCTATGTTTTCATAATTTTTTCTCTTCATCTTTTCATTTCTAAAGTCATATTTCTTCGGCAGTAATATAGAAAATGTGGGAAGATCTTCCAGTGGAAACTTTATTCCTAATGCATTTTTGTGGGTTGGTTCTTTCTTGATGGGGTGGTTGGGTGTTGTTTTCGAAGGAGATATATCCTATACGTCTGATTATTTGCCATTGGATTGTCAACCGGTTACTTAGGAAGCCTTACAACTTTCAGCTGTTGGAAGCAGAAAATGCTTGAACTCAGTGCTGAAGGCCATTGGATGTTTGCTCTGCTCGGTTTTCTAATAGGTAATATGTCGTATTCTAAAGAATTGCTGCAGTAGACATGTAGCTGGCTATGCCAGGCATGGTGTTTCAATTTCATTGAATCTAGCTGGTTTCAGCTTTGATGCCTATTATCCATGGATTAATCACAAGCCCAATGTAGCTCAAATTGCTGGACTAATCTGTGCTTCTCTTTCATGTGATGGATTATATTAGGCTTGTTTCTTGTGGCCTGCTCCATCAATTTTGGCGTAGAGACAGCAGAGGGTTTTAGGCAGCTTCTTGATGGGAACTCAGTATGTGGTGTCACTAGCTCTAGAAGGAGCTGGGGGTTGACAGCCACAAGTGTCACTTGGTAGCTTTAGCTGTGTTGCTGCTGATGCTAGGTTCTCCATGAAGCGTGAGTGAATAATGTTGAGAGAGGAATTTAAAAGTGACAGCAGTGAGGTGCAACTGTGGTTGGGTTGTATTGTTGGACCTCTTGATGCGTCGATCTGGTGGTTCTTAGCCTGGCTCAATGGACGTGTATTAGGGAAGTAGGGTTGTTGAAATGGGTTCCATTTGGTACTCTAATTGCCAGTGTTTTTGCATTTTGTGTCATGGCTGCCCTGTCTACTGTGAAGAAAGTGGTAAGCACTTGTGGTATGATCTCTGTCCATCCACTCGATGACTTGATCCTCACCATCACTTTTCGTGTGTTATGGTGTTGTGTTCAGAAAGCTTACAGTGCACGTATATTAGTTTGTCACGTTATGAACTGCCAAGCCTGTTAGTTTGGGTGGTGGTTTTTTTTTTCTCGTCTGGGTTTTAAAAGTTTCTTCGAGGTGTACTCGTTTCTTTTACAATATTTTGTGTGTTGCCTTTGTCCTGCATTGTTTGGATCCATGCTCATGGTTTTTCAATAGAAAAATCAACGAAATCTAACGTGCAGAATTTTTTCTGTTTGCGCAGATGAACACTAAGACTTGCGACATTGTTGCAATAGGCATACAATTTGGATTTCTAGGTTGACTGTGTACTGCTTCCACCTTCATTGCTGAGTTCAATGCAATGAGAGAAAGCAAATACCCTTGGAGAGCATACGCTTACGCCATGGCTACGATGTGCAACTCGTTTGGTTTGGAGATCCTGATATTTTGTGTACCTGTTTGGACAAGGGGAATCAAGTAGTTAATCTGTGGTTATACCTCGAGATCTTCTTCACCCTCGCTGGCTTCAATCTGACCGAAGAACGTGCTTCTTGAGTGTCACAGAACCTTGCAGGAGATACTTACACGAAATATTTTTCTCGTATCTGTCTCTTCCCTCGGGCGACGAGCATGGGGGTATTCACCCGGTTTCATGTTAGTTTCTGTCGATCTTACAAAAGTATCTCCAGACCGGGTTGCGACCAATGCTAGCTTGAACACGGGCCAAGTTCTTATTGTACTGCAGGTGAGTTGGCATAACATCAGAAAACTAGAGTAATTCATAAATATACTCTACTATATTTTACATTTCACTCGGTATCTTCGTAATTATTGTAAATCTTTCAACAGAATAGGGATTAAGTATTTATGACACTATTTGCACTTATTACCATATCGTTACATTCAAACTGTGATTTGTAAATAAAGAATAATGACTTTGTTTTAAAGAAAAAATTACAACGATATATTTACACTAAAGAGGATGAAGATATGGTTAAGCCCCACAATAAATCAGTCATAATAATTTAGTTCAGATTATTCATTCACGAGATCAAAACATAAGACTTATTTGACAAGTGGAAATGAATACAACCTTAATAAATTAGTTCGGACTATTCATTCACGAGATTCAAACCCTCAATGATAAACGTTGAGAAATACAACTAATAGTAAGTTGTTTGCTTGTCAATTCCAATTGGAAACTTATAATTACATCATTCCTTAAAAGTAGTTTGCTTGTCGAAATATTTATTCTTTTCCCCCAAACCAACCACCACGTGATTTTACACAGCTAACATCAACTTGTTTCGGAGGCTACATTATTGTACTAACTACTTGGACGTTCTTGAACTCGTTTTGGAGGGTAAAAGGTTTTAACTTACAAACAACAAAACCCTCCTCCAAAATTGGTTTTGGGATGTGACTCTGACATTACAATTTATTTAGTACAATCAAACTTGTCTCATCTTTTCCTTTCTTTTCTTCTGTAAATATAAACTACAAAAGTTTCATAAACGACTTGTAGTTCAAGTGATTATGAATATATACTTTTGTGTCTGAGGTCCTGAGTTTAATCTTCCGGTGTTCTTTGTTTCTTAGGCATCGTTTGGTATCTAGAATTTTAATGGATTGGATAACTGTTGATTTTCAAGGAATGAATTGTATCTCATTCATTCATTTTTTTTTGTTACAAGAACAACAAAACATATATAGAGGAACCTACAGAAAACTAAGAGGAAAGCTACGGAAACAATGGAGAGTTAAGACCCCTCCATGACACCTCCACCTAACTTAAACCACTAATTAATCCTTACAATGATGATGAGGTCTCCACTCTACCTAACTACACATCATCAAGGCTTGCATTATGCCTAAAGTAGATATTAAACTAAGATGCACTAAAGCATCACTTAAGTTTTAGCCGAAAGTTTGAATCCATGCATTGGCTAGCTTTCCATTATTCTATTCTTCCATGATACTCCATGATGCTTCCAACTCTTAGGAACCCTACTTCCAACCCTACTTCAAATAAACAACCATCCAATACTCCCCCTCAAGCTGGATCCAGAAGGTTGATGGATCCAAGCTTGGAGAGGAGTCTTTGAAACTGATGAGAGGCCAGAGGTTTGGTGAATATATCGGCCAGCTGATCGGAGCTTTTTACATAATGTGTCTGAATCACCTGCGACTGTACTTGTTCACGAACATAGTGACAGTCGACTTCAATGTGCTTCGTCCTCTCGTGAAAGACTGGATTTGATGCTATGTGCATAGCAGCCTGGTTGTCACAAAATAAGGTCATTGGTTGAGTCGTGAACACACCTAAGTCACATAGAAGTCCTTTTAGCCATATCAGCTCACACGCGGTTGAGGCCATTGCACGATATTCAGCTTCGGCACTTGATCTTGCGATGACAGTTTGTTTTTTGCTCTTCCATGTGACCAAATTTCCACCGACAAAGGTACAGTAACCAGTGGTGGACTTGCGATCGATGGCATTTCCTGCCCAATCTGCATCGCAGTACCCCATGATTTGAGTGTTGTCATTCTTCGTCATGTGGATGCCACGACCAACGGACCCTTTTAAGTAACATAAGATCCTTTTTACAAGGTTCAAATGCTCGATGGTGGGGGAATGCATGAATTGACTGGCTATACTCACTGAATATGAGATGTCAGGTCTGGTGATCGTTAGGTAAATCAGCTTACCGACAAGCCTCTGATAGGAGCTGATATCCGAGAGTGGTGTGCCTCCCAAGTCAAGTTTGAGCTTGCTATCGAGAGAAGTAAGTGCAGGCTTAGCATCGCTCATATTAGCATCCTTGAGTAGGTCCATGACGTATTTTCGTTGATTAAGAAATAGTCCCTTGTGAGAAGATGCCATTTCGATTCCAAAAAAATACTTCAGCACCCCAAGATCTTTAATCGCAAATCTTTGTTGAAGTGACTTTTTGAGTGTGGAGATCTCTGCAGCATTATCACCTGTAATTATTAAGTCATCCACGTATATCAACACAACTAATTTGCTTGCAGCTCCCGTGCGAACAAATAATGATGAATCTGCATTACTCCTTTTGAAACCAACACTATGAAGAACTGAACTTAGTTTTGCATACCAAGCACGAGGCGATTGCTTCAATCCATAAATCGACTTATGCAACTTACACACCAAATCAGGCTTCTGGCTTTGAGGGTGTCCTGGTGGCAATCTCATATAGACCTCTTCTTCAAGATCACCATGTAGAAAGGCGTTCTTTACGTCCATTTGGTACATGGACCAACCCTTATTGACGGCAACAGACAATAGGACCCTAACTGAGTTCATTTTTGCAACAGGAGCAAATGTTTCTTTGTAATCTACCTCAAATGTTTGAGTGAATCCTCGAGCCACCAGCCTGGCTTTATGTCTTTCAATTGAACCATCAGAATTAAACTTGATCTTATAGATCCATTTGCAGCCCACTGCCCTTTTTCCTTTTGGAAGTTTGGTGATGCTCCAGGTGTTATGTTGGTCCAGTGCTTTGAGTTCATCTCGCATTGCTTATTTCCACACAACTTGGTTATTAGCCTCATGAAAGTTTTGAGGCTCACTGTGACTTGAAATGGTATTAAGAAAAGCAGCATGAGATGGAGTCACCTTTTGATACGACACCCAATTAGAGATTGGATACCTCGGTTTATATGTGACAAAATCTTGAAGTCTTGTGGGAGGTTGTCTATCACGCCGAGGGTTGCGTTGAGGTACTGGGAGAGTTGTCTCATCCTCGTTCAAATTATCAGCCACACTTTGAAGATTTTCTTGGTTGCCGCTGTTATCATCATCCACAGAACCATCAGGATGAGTGCCTTCATTGTTGACTTCAGTGAGTGGTGTAGGAGATTCATCATTGTTGTCATGGTTAGAACCTCTTTCGTTTAAAACATCTGGAGTGCTGATTTCATCTGGAGTGCTGATTCTAGGTAGAGGAAGCAGATCAGAGATACACTCCCCCTGACCTGTGGCTTCAAGTGACTTGCTGAAAAAAGAGTTAGCTTCATGGAATCGAACATCTTTGGATACAATGATTTTTCTCAGTTGGGGATCATAGCACTTATATCCTTTTTGTGTTGATGAATAACCAAGAAAAATGCATTTGAGAGCTCTAGGGTCCAATTTATCTCGATGGTGTGACTGAACATGAACAAAACAGACACAACCAAAGGTTCTAAGATGTGAGAGGTCGATTTTTCTTCCTTTCATGACTTCAAGTGGAGATTTAAACCCCAAGACTCGGCTAGGAAGTCTATTGATGATGTACACAGCCGCCATGGCTCCTTGGGACCAAAATCTCTTTGGTACATTCATGTGTAACATTCATGCTCTTGTTTTTTCCAGTATGTCACGATTTTTCCTTTCGGCTACACCATTTTGTTGAGGTGTGCCAACACAGCTTGTTTGATGCATGATACCATGATTGCTCAAATATTGTGACATGAGATGGGACGTGTATTCGGTGCCATTGTCATATCTTAAAGTTTGAATTTGAGAAGAAAAATGGTTCTTAACAAGGTTGTGAAAATCCTTAAATACTTCCATCACTTCACTCTTAGACTTTAAAAGGTACAACCAAGTGGCTCTAGAGAAATCATCAACAAAGATCACATAATACTTATAACCATCAAAAGATTCAAACGTTGGTCCCCATACATCTGAGTGAAGTAGTTCGAAAACTTTACTAGTCCTAGATAAGGATGGGTTAAAAGGCAATCTAGTGTCCTTAGACAAATGACAGGTTTCACACGAAATTAAATCATTCCCTAAATTTGGAAACAAAGATGACAAAACAGGTTGAGAAGGATGAGCTAGACGTTGATGCCACAATTGACTATCTTGGGATGGATTTGACTTGGCTTGAAATCCCCTGGGACTGCTCTTTGATATGTAATAGAGACCATCTAGATAAAACCCTTCACCAATCGTCTTCTTAGTGAGACAATCCTGAAAAATGACATTGTGAGGAGAGAAGATGGCTAAACAATTCAAGGTATTGGTGATTTTTCCCACAGATAGAAGTTGAAATGGAAAAGAAGGAACATATAAGGCTACTGACTCAATTTTGTCCGACATTAAGTGGATATTTCCCTTGCCTAAAACCTTGGAACTCTCACCATTGGCAGTTGAGACTTGAGAAGGTTGCGAAAATTTTTCAAACTTTTGAAACTTAGAAACATGATTGGTCATATGATCTGTGGCACCCGAATCAACAATCCAAAAATCATGCAACATATTTACATTAAGAGCAGTTTTGAAAGCAGTCATGATACCTTGCATGTCATCTCGGGACATGTGTTGTGTGTCCGTCAGAAAACCAGCGAACTTGCCTAGCAAAGCTGTTAAGTTTCCATCTTCAAAAACGACCGTTTGATCACTCTTAACCTCTTCTTTCTTGCTTTGAAGATATGCTGCAAACTCATTTATGAGTGCAACCGGATTTGCTGTGAAGCTCTTGAGTGCGTCAGACCCATGTGAGGTTGAGGTAGATGCATTGTTGGCTCTGTGTGGTGCACGGTTCAGTCTTTGTGAGCCCTTGTTATCCTTCATGAACTCTGGCTTTAATTCTGGATGTAAAATCCAGCATGTCTCCTTAACATGGCCAGTATAGTTGCAATGTTGGCACTTCAAGTGTGGATTCTTCACTTTGTATTTTCTTTCGTTGGTTAGGTAAGACCTTGCTTCAGTTACATTGGTCTTTGTGCCAATGTTCATGACTTTCCTTCGTACTTCTTCACGTTGGATTGTTGCACATACACTGGTGAAGGAAGGTAGTTCGGGGTTCATGAGTATGTGGCTTCGTAGGTCTTCGTATCCTGAATCGAGGCTTGATAAGAGTTGGAATATCTTGTCTTCTTCTGGCCTTTTCAGTAGCACGGACGCTTCAGTTGTATGAGGCCGATACATTTCCAACTCATTCCATATGCTCTTCATGCTGCCAAGAAGTTGAACAAATGGCTTTCCTTCTTGTTGCAGGTTGGAAATGTCCTTCTTTAGTTGAAACACACGTGCAGCATTGTTTTGACTGCCATACATCTCCTTGACTGTCTCCCATAGCTCGAATGATGATTCAGAATAACTGAATATTTCAGCTAGTTTACGCTCCATGGAATTTAGGAGCCATGACATAACTAGCTGATCCTTGCAAAGCCAGTTTTCATATGTTGGTGAGGAAGCATCAGGAACTTCGATGCTTCCATTTATGAACCCTAGCTTGGACCTTCCACCTAGAGCAAGGCTCACTGCTCTCGACCAAGGTAAGTAATTAAACTCATTTAACAAGACTGAGCTTAACCTTTGATTTGGATTGACATCCACCTTAGACATATTTCCGGAAGAAAGAACCGGTGAACTTTCAGCATCTGACCTAAGAGGATTGTCTTCAGCCATCTTGAGGATTGATCACGTTCGGATGAAGCAGAAGCAGGTTATTTTTCCTGCTCTGATACCATGTTGATTTTCAAGGAATGAATTGTATCTCATTCATTCATTTTTTTTTGTTACAAGAACAACAAAACATATATAGAGGAACCTACAGAAAACTAAGAGGAAAGCTACGGAAACAATGGAGAGTTAAGACCCCTCCATGACACCTCCACCTAACTTAAACCACTAATTAATCCTTACAATGATGATGAGGTCTCCACTCTACCTAACTAAACATCATCAAGGCTTGCATTATGCCTAAAGTAGATATTAAACTAAGATGCACTAAAGCATCACTTAAGTTTTAGCCGAAAGTTTGAATCCATGCATTGGCTAGCTTTCCATTATTCTATTCTTCCATGATACTCCATGATGCTTCCAACTCTTAGGAACCCTACTTCCAACCCTACTTCAAATAAACAACCATCCAATAATAACTCATAAACTTATAGGAATATTAGAGGTAGATGTAAATGGTCGAACAAGCAGTGCCACTTCTTCATTAAGCAGGCGGCCTTTAAGTTTCTCACGTGTTCAACCTTCTCAAATAGATGACGGCAATGAAAGTGAATGTGTGTCAGCGGCAGGAGATATTGGGGATCGGGCTCTTCACAGCAACAGGCACAGTGAGAGTGGCAGCATCTGCTTGTTTCCTTCAGAGGACATTCAACTCCAATCCTATGGGTTCTGGGGTCGTAACCCTGTTACATCCACAAAGCAATTTCCCCCGTCTCTCCCTTGCCAGAGGAAATCATATCTCCTCTTTCCACTGATGCGATCATACACGACGACAAAAAGCAAGTGAGCTTTCGGTCGATACTTTTCTTATTGTATGTAATCTTTGTTAGAGATCCCTTACCATGTACAGGAGATTTGGTTTGCATTTTCATTGATCAGGAAAGGAACAAAGTAAAAAATGTTTGATTTTTTCCCCCTTTTTGGTTGGATTATGCTAGTAACTTTACGTTATTGCATTTGTGTTGAGAATAAGTCCCACATTGACGGGATGATGGACCTTGCATGTGCTTATAAGAGGTCGGCTACTCTCCATGTTGCCAATTGGTTTTATGGTGAAACCTCAACTTTCTTCATGATATCAGAACAGGTTGTCTCACATGTGAAGCCAAACGGCCACATGCCCTTCACGTCATCCCGTTGTGTTGTCCACGTGTTAGACTTGAAAATTCACCACACGTCATACGGTGTGTTGAGAATGAGTCCCACACTAATAAGAGGAGGGACCTTGCATGGGCTTATTTGTTTGACAAAATTTGGATCTTCAAATGTGGAAGAATACACTAGCCATATTCTTGTCTTTACAATTGAGATAACTAGATTTTATCATGCATTACAAAAAATTTCCTTGCTAGAAATATTTTTTTGTGGAAATCTGTCTAGATGAAGATGCTTATAGTGATCAAATTGTATCCGTTAACTTTATATTGTGGAACACTTGAGAACAACAAAAATATTTGTTCTCGAACATCTTTGATCATGCTGTTGTTAGATATTTCTTTCATATTAGGAAATGTACTTGTCAAGTTGATTATTTGACACGCATCATTGTGCAGGTCTTAACGAGATATCTGCTGCAAAAGTTGTTTGGCCCTGGAGTTGGTGGTGTAACAAGCAACCAAATCATTCTCTACCTTGATCTTCCTTCTAATATGCTCTCTCTCTCTCTCTCTCTCTCTCTCTCTCTAACACATTTACTCACTCACACATATGCACAAATGTATTAGCCCCATTATTTGGCAGTGTTTTATTGATAACATGTTTGTAAAGTTGTTAATCATGAGTGTTAGGAGGAACTTGTACTACACATGGTATCATAACTACTGAAGTTTAATCGAGTTCCTTAGTACATC